TTGTACTTTCCAGGTCACCTTCAAAGGTAGCCCCACTTAGAGCGCATTGCAGTAGTCCAATCGGGAGATAACTAGAGCATGCACCACTCTGGTGAGACAGTCTGTGGGCAGGTAGGGTCTCAGCTTGCGTACCAGATGGAGCTGGCAAACAGCTGCCCTGGGTACAGAATTGACCCACGCCTCCATGCACAAAGGGCTCTGGTGTGGAAGCAACCTGCATGTGCAATCATGCCATTATAGAACTAGTAGACAACACCAACCCTGCAATGGACACACGGCTGCACTGTGTCTTCGGGCAGCCACTGATTCAACACAGTATATTCAGATTATTTTTTAAAAGAGCCAGCCACTCATGAGGATACCAAAATTTGGGCTTACTTCCACAACATATAGAAAGCTGCAATTTGTTAAACATGGCATTGCCCTAAATACATATCATCATCACTAAAACATTTTTTCGAAAGGGTAGAACGAAACATTAACCCAAGCTCCACTGTTGCCTGCAACCTGCAGAGGGAACAGATTGGAGCTGAAAGACCAATGGAAAGTGCGCAAGGTGTGTGGAGGCTTAACTGCAAGCGAGCACAATATAGAGACAAAAGAATGTGCTTGTTTTAATATGGCGCAAAAATTGTGGGCACCTTAATTTACAATTTCCATGCTTTGGGGAGCGTGACTGAATGTGTAAGTACCTTAACTAGTCTCTTAAATCAAGGGTGCTTTTTAAAATAGAGAATTTCCTTGTGTTTTGAGCAATCCACTAAATTGCACAATCCCTCTTGGGGTTGCCTATACCTTTACCATAGTTCTATCTGACATTGGACACAAATCTACCTTGAAGTCTAATTTGCATCACAAAACATGCCAATAAACATAATTTTAAAAATCATTTGTATTTTGAAGTGTGTAAAATTTGTTAACTGCAGCACCCAACAGGACTTACTTTCACATGTATCATTCCCCACATACTAACTTACCTTGAAATGTGGAAAGTTTTGACTGTAAACTAGGATGAACTCCTTACTTGGCGATTGAGATGGGTCCAAGGAATCTTGGAGTAATCTTCCCTAGGCAAGAGACACACACCATCCCACAAAGCATCACAAACATCCCTCCCCCAAGCACTTCCCAAGGGTGTCCCTTCCCACGTCACCCAGCTCTCCCCATCCTTGCACACAGTCTCCTGTGCAGTCACTCTGTCACACAAATACTGCCCACCTACATGCTGTGATGTCACTTGCCCCAATTTAATTCATTCACTTAAATGGGGAATTTAAACACCAATATATTGTTACAAAGGGACGCGGGGGGCGCTGTGGGTTAAACCACAGAGCCTAGGACTTGCAGAAGGTCAGCGGTTTGAATCCCCACGACGGGGTGAGCTCCCGTTGCTCGGTCCCTGCTCCTGCCCACCTAGCAGTTCGAAAGCATGTCAAAGTGCAAGTAGATAAATAGGTACCGCTCCGGCAGGAAGGTAAACGGCGTTTCTGTGTGCTGCACTGGTTCGCCAGAAGTGGCTTAGTCATGCTGGCCACATGAACCGGAAGCCGTACGCTGGCCCCCTCGGCCAATAAAGCATCCCATTGGCCTGATTAAACCCTGCAACAAGGGACCTACCAATTGGGTGTTGTGGCTAACCAATCTTACCCACCCACAATGCAGGGTTTGGTTGCCGGGTCTCACCGCAGCACGTGCCCTCTTTATGGGAGGACCCAATCTCTCTTATTTTTCCATTTTTTTATTTTCAATTTTTTTATTTCCATTTTATTTATTTATTTTTCAAAATAACAACATTTCCCATTCATCAAAATATCAAATTCTCTTGTTTGACTTTCCCCCTCCCTCCCTCCTTCCCCAGTTTCCAAAAGTTTTTATTTTATCCCCTTGCGTATAATTAATTTTTCCACTTAATTTTCATTTCGTCATTTTTAACTTAGATATCCAATTACTTCATAAATGCTACACCAATCCTGCTAATGTTTTAACATATTTACAGTGTTCTTTAACATAATCAATAAATTTAATCCAATCTGCTCAAGTTTCTTCTCATCTTCGTGCCTGATCTTCACAGTAAGTTTTGCCATTTCAGCAGAGTCTATCATCTTAATTATCCAGGCTTCCTTAGTTGGTACACATTCTTCTTTCCACTTCTGGACACATAATATTCTAGCAGCTGTTGTATCATACGTAAATAATTTCTTTAAAGTTTTTGGTATTTCTTTCCCCATTATTCCAAGCAAAAAGGCTTCTGGTTTTTTTAATGAAATCTGAAACATCTTTTTTAATTCATTATATATCAATTCCCAGAAGTCTTTTGCTTTTTTACAGGTCCACCACATGTGCAAAAATGTACCTTCGTTGTCTTTACATTTCCAGCATATACACCTGGAAGTCTCCACTGGAGGTGGTGCAGGACATTATGCCTCAAGAATGCCAATCATTGCCCCTCTCATAGCTTCAGCGAGCTCAGGTTCAAAGCAGTGCTCAGTCATGGCTCCCAGTCTCTCAAGGCAGCCTAGTCTAGCAAGCGTCAATATGGTTCTGCCTCCTCCCTCCTTCAGGTTTCCAGAACACCTTTAGATTTCAAAAAGGACAGTTTTTCCTGTGACATCAAGCTCCCTCCCCCATCACCTACCAGTTCTTCGGTCTGCTGCTCAGAGTGGGACATGGGGGTGGGAAGGACAGTTCTTTTGCACTGCCAGTCGCCCTTAATGGCTCAGGACTTAGCTCGCTGGCCATGCTGCTTTGCATAAGACAGGCATGGCCAAACGTGGCCCTCCAGATGTTTTGGGACTACAACTCCCATCATCCCTAGCTAAGAGGACCAGTGGTCAGGGATGATGGGAACTGTAGTCCCAAAACAGCTGGAGTGCCAAGTTTGGCCATGCCTGGCATAAGGCAACCCAGGAATTTCCTGTCTGGCACAGCTCTGCAGCTTGCATTTCCCTTCAGATCCCAAATATTATCTAAATACTACCTTTTACTGCACTCAACCCACAAACGTTGTATGAATGAAAGGCAGCGTCAGGGACGAGGCTCAAAGCACAGCCCCACTCCTGCTTCCCCATGCAAGTCATGCTTGAAAAGGTCTATGGGTGGAAGAAGTGACAGGAAAGCCAGCAGGAAAGAAACTGGACGAGGGTCAGCATTTGAGGCTTGCTGGGGAATGTGGGCACACATTAGGGAAATGGGATTTTATTGAAGTGAGAGACTGAGCCCTGAGTTACTGGAGCTGAGCAGAAATTTCAGCGTGGTTAATGCCAAGGCTTGAAAGAAAACTATCTCCACACATTACAATGATCCACAAGCTGATCCCAGGCTAACTCTTCTCTCCTTGCTCATCCTGTCATCATTGCCAGCTCCCTGCCCAGCTCAACATGTGCCACAAGGAACTTTTGTCTGCCTTACATTCTGATTGCTTGCTAAATAGTAGCTCGGGCTGTTGTCTATACACTCTAGCTTTTCCCCATGCTGGCTGGCCCCTCGTTTGTTCTCATTAAGGACTGGCAGGGTGTCTAATTAGCTGGTGTGGCAGTGCCAGTGCCCTGCTGGCTAAACATCTGCGCACATGGACCCCTTCCCTCTCCGTGGCACATTATAAGCATACATAACTCTGACTTGCTTGCTGTGTATGACCTGCCTTGTCACCAGGAAATAAAGCCTTGTGGCGCACGGAGCATGGCGCGGAGGCCTTCATTTGCAAGCAGCTACCTGCCAACCTGGCCCTGGAACTGTCCACCCTGGCCTTGGAGTCGCCGAGCCTCTAGGGATGCTCACATTAGCCACTGAAAAAGCAGCAAGGTCATTTGCCCCCGCTGCATTTGAAGCTGCTTTTGCATGGAATTGCTCACAGCAAAGAGAGGGCAGGGATGTCTTCACTCTGTGCACAAGACCTTTTGGGGTTTCCCTGATACTCCCCCCACTGAATCCTATTCATGAAGCTCTCATCTGCACATGCACAGTGGCTGTTTCACATGTTCACATTCCCACTTACTCCACAGCCAGTTTTCTAGCCTACTTGGATTGAAGTTGTGAGCTAGTATTGCGCAGCTATCACTGCCTGCAATACAGAGCTCTCTTCTTACTGTCCCACTGTTGTTGTTGTTTAGTTGTTTAGTCGTGTCCAACTCTTCATGACCCTATGGACTAGAGCACACCATGCACTCCTGTCTTCACTGCCTCCCGCAGTTTGGTCAGACTCATGCTGGTAGCTTCAAGAACACTGTCCAACCATCTCGTCCTCTGTTGTCCCCTTCTCCTTGTGCCCTCCATCTTTCCCAACATCAGGGTCTTTTCCAGGGAGTCTTCTCTTCTCATGAGGTGGCCAAAGTACTGGAGCCTCAGCTTCAGGATCTGTCCTTCCAGTGAGCACTCAGGGCTGATTTCCTTCAGAATGGATAGGTTTGATCTTCTTGCAGTCCATGGGACTCTCAAGAGTCTCCTCCAGCACCGTAATTCAAAAGCATCAATTCTTCGGCAATCAGCCTTCTTTATGGTCCAACTTTCACTTCCATACTTCACTACGGGGAAAACCATAGCTTTAACTATATGGACCTTTGTCGGCAAGGTGATGTCTCTGCTTTTTAAGATGCTGTCTAGGTTTGTCATTGCTTTTCTTCCAAGAAGCAGGCGGCTTTTAACTTCATGACTGCTGTCCCACTGTAGTCACTAGCAAAGCATGAGAAATTGTGAACCCTAATATGGACCGGTCTGGCCTTTGCCTCCCGGACTGATGTGTGCATCAAAAGTGATGGTGCACCTGCACTCAGAAGTGAGCTCCAACAGCTTCAACTGTCTGGACTTATTCCCAGGTGCCGAGGATCGTACCCCTAGTTATCTACTGGCTATCACATTTCCCAAATGTTGTAATGCAATTCCTGACTCAAAGAAGTATCAAAATGCATTAAAATGCTCATCTTAAAAGAAAATATATTTTGCAATGTACTTTTTCTTTTGAAATACACAGCTAAAATACTGTTTGAATCTTGTTCTTTGTGCAGATTTTTTTTTTTAATTGAAGATTAATGCACCAATGGAACGGAGCGGATCTATGAGTCAACGCGTATGAAAGTGACACAGAAACAGAACGATTCACCCGCCCCTCGCAGTCTCTCTGATCAGCCAGTACCCAAGCATCATTTCCCTGGACCTGGCACAAACTTGTCACATCTGCTCCCTTGATTCCTTGTCTGTTTTGAAAAACTGGATGATTGATTGGTGCCCTTTATAGCTTCTTTTGGTTCCCTTTAAGTACCTTTTTTTCTGGCTGCCTGATTTCTATTATCTATTATTATTCTATTATTATTATTTCTATTATTCTATTATTATTATTATTATTATTATTATTATTATTATTATTATTATTATTATTATTATTTCTATCCTGGCCTTTGCCTCAAGGGAGTCCAGAGTGGCAAACAGGAACACAAACAATACAAAAAAACCCCAATTAAAACAATTTGAAAACCTGAAGACATTTCCAAACAGTCACATATCTTCACACAGCTAATCATTCCAAGGTTGTCACGTCTTGCAGCCATCAAATGCCTGGGTAAGCAGGAATGTTTTAAAACCCTTCCTGAGCATAAATGAATCAGACATGCCTCAGCAGGGAAGGCATTCCACACACGGGGAACCGTGACTGAAGACGCCCCATCAGGGCTCAGTTGCCAGTGGTGGCAGCATAATGCTATTATTTAATACAGGCTTCCTCAACCTCGGCCCTCCAGATGTTTTGAGACTACAATTCCCAGCATCCCTGACCATTGGTCCTTCTAGCTAGGGATCATGGGAGTTGTGGGCCAAAAACATCTGGAGGGCTGAGGTTGAGGAAACCTGATTTAATAAATGCTATCATTTAAAACATTATTCTTAAATGTTTATATATTTCATGAAAGTTACAAGTTGAAGAAGAACAATTTGTTGAAATCAGCTGCACATCAAAGGGGAGCTTATGGACTATATACTTCATTTGTAATTCCCTCTGGAGATTGCCTCATCCCTCTGAAATTTGGCAGGTCTAAAGGGGGGGGGGAGTCAGTCAGTTCAATTTATTGTGCCTGGCGAACAGCCATTACACACATGAAAATAATAATACAACTACGAATAGTGGTTTACATTTCTACTCCCCCACCTTTACAGGATAAATCATTTCCCATTCCCCCTTTAAGTTTTATTACACAAATTTGTAAAGCCTGTGCAAGAAATTTGGATGTTCAAAAGGATATATACCTCTCCACAACGGACAGCAAAAAACAGGTCTTTGCAAGAGATGCCCTTCTCTTCTGCAATCTTAACAATGGATGGATGCAATTGTTTCGAAGATCATTATAAAAAGGGCATTCAAGGAATACATGAGTTATGTCTTCTATAGACAGAGAGTTGCACGTGCAAACTCTGTCCTTCTTAGGAACTCCTTTATATCGGCCCTTTATATCCGATCTGCTAACGGAAGAACATTTAGTCTTGCCTGAGTAAAGGCTACACTAATTTTGGCAAGTCTACCAGATATCTTGGCAGGGATGGATACAATGGAATAAAAAAGCATACAATTTGTTCGATTGGCAGATCTTAGGGTTGCCATACATCCGGAATTTCCCAGACAAATCCAGAATACTGTAGTTGGAAGCAGTGTCTGGGTGGAAATTGGCCAAATGTACGGGAAAATCTGGATGTATGGCAACCCATGTCAGTGGTGTTGTTTTTGCCAATTTTCATCATCTGTGTAAAGGAGGACTGAATATTTCTGATTTCCGATTTTTACTGCAAAATAGTGCTCACCTCTTAGAAATTCAACTACATCATTTATAAATAAATTGAAGAGAAGGGGAGCAAGTAGATATCCTTGTCTTACTCCTTTTGTAACAGGTACAGTGTCAGATAGGTGCCCTCCATTCATTCTAAATCGCAGAGATGTACCAGAATATAGCGCCATTGTGCAATTTAAAAGCTGCATATCAATTCCCATAGATTATAGTTTGTTCCAAAGGCATTCCTGAGAGATAGAATCAAAAGGAGCCCCACCCTGCATAATCGATCACATGATGTGGTGCACACAAACCATTTGAATGGCACTGCCTATCAAATTTGGGGGGCGGCCCCCTCAAATATTTTAGGGGGGCGAAGACCTTTCAGCCCCTAGGAGTTGGCTTCTGTGCCCTCAGGTGGGCTGGTCTTTTGGATCTGGAAATGTGCCAATATTTTGGAGGGGTAGTCAGTCATTTCAGGGACCCTCGGTTGGAAAGGTCTGTGCTAGGAAGAGGACACACAGGAAATGACTTTTGAAAAGTGGTGTGATTTACCAGCAGCCTTTTCTGGGTTGCATGGGCTGTTTTCTGGTGAGATGCTCACATGTTACTAAGGGTTATTGCTTGGCATTCACATAAAAGGGATTCTTCCACCCCTCGCCTAACCTCCTGGAGTGCAGTTCTTTCAGAAAGTCCTTAGTTGTCTTGGCTCGGAAAGCTTGTTAGACATTGGCACTGAACTTGTCATAAACTCACTAGCACAATACCAGCACCTCCACTTTCTCACTGCGAAGGAACAGATCCTTTTAATCCATTGCTGTTTCAGACCAGGTTCTTTGCTATTTGTACTCAATAATAGTGGTATTCAGTCCCCTTCCTGGGCTGTTCCTTGGCTTCCCAGAGAAAGCTTTTGGGCTTGCCATGCGGAGTCTGGACGGAAAGCAGAGGCAGTGTGGGGGCACTTCTTTCAATGATCTTCAATAGGGGAGGAGGATATGCAAACAGGAATGAAATGTCAGGAATCCCCCCTCTTGACAATTGACAATTTGCCAAGGGAGGAAGCATCTTGTTGTGGATTGCAGTACATCTTGCTCCCATACACAAATGCTGAATATTCCAGGCTTCGCAAGACACCCAGGGTGTGGCATGGCTAGAGACTATTGCAATTCACTCAGAGATTAACAGAAGATCTACCTTCTGCCTGCTCCTTCTGTGCATATTCCCCAACTGGCCGGAATTGCTCCAGAAAGCAGAGGAGGGCATGGTTTGGCGGAACATTAGGAGAAGTAGGAGCAGCTGGAACCAATTACCTAGAGAGGTGGCATTGGGCTCTCCCTCGCTGAATGTCTGTGAGCAAGAGCTTGGACTGTCATCTGTTGGGCATCCTCTAGCTTTTGGATTTTTGCACTGAGCAGAGGCTTCAGCTAGACAGCTTACATGGTCCCCTCCAACTTTAGGAGCATGTTCATGTTAGTGCTCACTCCACATTCAGTGCACTCCTGCAGTGGGTTTTTGAAGCTGCAGTCGTGTGGTGTTAACAACAGTCCACATCTATCCTGCAGCTTCTCGACCATTTCTGATTTCCCCCCTCAAATCAGCTTCAATCAGATGAGAAAATTCAAGCGGCATTCACTTTGTGCTTTGAGATGGTGTGAACATTTGAGGCAGGCGTTGCGCATGTGCAGCTGAGTGCGCATAAACACAGAGCAGCTTCATGAGTAGCAGCTCTGTGCCAGTTGCAGGGGTGGGGAAACCAAAAGGGAGAAGGCATCCCCAACACACGCTCTCCGATGTGGAGCAGCACTCTGCAAATTTGGCTTTACTTTGTTAGATTTTTTCAAGCTCACTTTCCCAGAGAAAATGTGGCATGTGAGTCAAAGAGCCCATAAGGGAACATACAGAATGGAGCAGAATGGTGCTCTCTAGCAATCCTCAGCTGTATTCATTGGCCTGAGCTACACAGCTGGCCCTTTCAGGCCACGTGGTAGGAGGAAGCAGGGCTATCTTAATGCAGGCACATATGGGAACACACTAACCAAAGGCTCCAAGCATAGATTCTGCAAAGATTCAAGTGTTTCCGCAACCCCTTTCATTCCGGCTCTTACATATCCAGACTCCACAGATGTCCCCCTTCCCTTTCCCCTCACCTCTTTTTGTAGTTCTCCGGGATAAGGCAGAAGGGGCATTGCTGGGGCAGGGAAGGAAGCCAGTTCCAGCCTCATGTGTTTGCTAGGCATGTTCAGCTGGGAGCTTGTTAGCTCGATATGAGCAGCCGCTGCAAAGAGCTGACGTGGTTGCAGCAAGCTGCTGCACACTCATATCCCAGGGGCTCCCGAGGGACCTGAGCTTCGATCTGCGCTGTGCGAGGTGTGCTTGTGTGCACAGAACAGATGCCATTTGCATGGATTTATTACTTGCTCCTGAATGTTAATCTCAGCACCATTTAAAAGTGATGTTTCTGCCTGTGATGCTTCTACCCAGACTGCCTTTCAGAGTTTTGCCTCAGCCACAGAGCTACTGAGCCAGACGGAGGTAGAGCTCTACCCACACCCCTTGAGCTAAGGAAACGGGGCAGGGACTCTATCCTGCTGAATTTGGACTTCATGGTTGTGGGACGGTTACTAGTTTGCAGCATGCATCCTTGTTCTAGGTCCCTGGTGCTGGACAAAAATGGCTGCCGGGAGCAGGTGGCTGTGGACATGCAACTCTTCATACAGATGAGTCTGGCATGCACTATAATACCCCAAAAGGCCTGTTGCTAGTGGGGGAAAAAAGTGGATTGAATAGGCAAGATCCTGGGTGCAAGGTGTCTGAACCACATGAGCTTAACTGCCCCCTGCCTGTCCCAAGAACAGTCTTTTGCATCTTGCTAAAGATGCCACCAAACCCATTAGGAGAACAGCCCTTCTTTGTAGAGGGATCTTTGACAAGCGCAGCTGTTCTGTGCGCCTCAGCTCTGTAGACTTCCTTTGCACCTGGTCACCTTGGGACAAGGTGAAGGAGCAGCACCAGGGAGTGCAGTCACTGCAGTTATCAGATATGATCGCTTTGGGGACTTCTCTCAGTATCAGAAGGTCTTGGGAGGATGCGCTGAGCAATTTTTAGTAAGATACTGTCTGGAAGACAAGCTCTTAGCTTCTGAATCTCCCTCCCAATAGACTGTCTCCCTAGATGAGTTATTTGGATGCCCAGAAAGCAGTGATTAGAGAGTGGCTCTCAGGCCCAAGTGGGTGTCAGCAGAGACTTGGTGTGCTGTCTTCGTCTTCGTCCTCGTCCTCTTCCCCATCAATAGAGCTTTCCCCATAATCTCTTTGCAAAACACTGCAGAAGCAAAGGTCTGAGCCAGCAGTTAGCTCCTTCACTGCTCATATATCATTGCAGGAAGACTTCACCTTTCCATGCCTTCAGTGGGCGGGTCATGTGCACCCTCTTCCTCCTTTGGCAACCTGCTCTTCTCCTTCACAGGGCTCAGGAACAATGCTCAGGTGACAATGGCAGAATGCCAATGGGACAATACTGCTGAGGAATGAGAAAAGGATGTGGGCGTCTTCCTAGCCAGAAAATCTGGGAAGTTGGGAAGCAATCAAACCAA